TCGTAAACGCTAGGGGGCGCTTATCGTAACTTACTGTAACTTATTGTAACATCCAATAAGGAAGCACTGGTAACCCGGGATTACCTGTAATGAAACCATGCATTCTGTGTTCTGCACTGATACTTTTTTCAATTTCATTGTACACATGTTGTGCATTGACAATAAACGTTTGATTGATACTCTAGTGATACTTATCAGCAACTATGAGACACAGTTCAAAGAAGAGATTTCAAGAAAGGTAGAGGAAAATATAGGCTTTGCATATAAATTCATCTTTAATGAACTGTTGCTATTTAGAAAACTAATACTGACACATTTAAATACAGAGGGAGTGAGCAAAAGATATTCTCTGGACAGAATAATCACAGAAGAAATTAGTGAGTAAATGAAATACCCCATCAGAGTTTCCCAACACTTCAGAAACTTCAGCAAGTTAGTGGGCTAACTTACATCAACTCAGATTCTAGAAAGCTATAATTTTAAAACCAGAAATGCAATATGGCTCCAACCATTGACCACTAATCAGTCTTCAAATTAAGTTAAGAGTATGCAACTTCTGTTGACATAAGGCCACTCCAGATTTTAAGCTTAAAGGTCGGACTTCCAAAATAAGTGAGGCCTGGAGGTTGTAGAGAACAGTTTAAGGGGTAACATGATTGTCCTCATTGCTGCAAAACATAACAAATCATTTTTGCACTGAACTTATCCAAATTCCAAAAAATGCCCCCCTAAAGACTGGACATTTTGCCCCCACTCAGTCAGAGGACTGTAAAAATAACTCTGTCTGACAGCACATTTTTATACCCCTGAATTGAGACAAACCTTAATATATTTAATGAAAACACAAATATTCTAAACATTTTAATATTTTCCTTTATTTTAGTCTGTTTAAGAATTTCCACTCATAGATTATCAAAATTCTCCAATGTTTACAAAATCTTTTATGTCTTTTTTGCTGATCATCAATGCATTATTTATCCTTCTCTCAACTTTATAAATACATAAAGCAGAAAAGAATTCCCACAATGAAGAAAGCATCCAATACAAGTATTGCTCTGATTACTTAACAGATGTAATTAAAAACTATTTTTGATTATGAGACAGTAATGTATTACTCAATCAACCCAACAAAAATCCAATTCAAGTTTATATATGGAGAATACAACACAAACTAAATGTAAGTAAGTCACACAAATATTTCTCAATATTTATTTGCTACTTATTGGTCATGTACTCAAAAAAGACAGTAGATTCCAATTAATAAACTGCATCTATGCACTATTTGTTTAATTAATTTGCAGTGTTATGCAGGAGATCTCAGTAATAAACTCTTTCTTAATTAAAAGGGGTTCTAATTTATCAGCAATATCAATTGTAAGCAGCATCTCCTTTTTCAATCTAGTTCTATGTGCATATTTCAATTTTTGCTTCCTTTCCCTTCTCTTACTTTCAGTAGGTTATATTTTAGCTTATATCTACTTCACAGTATCAGGTATAACTCTTATATCTTTCAAAGGGTAGATAAAATAAAACTGTAGAATTTATGTAAGATTTCTAAAAAAAACAACCTGATAAAGAATACACAAAATAGGAATTGTGTATGGCAGCTTACCTTCTACAAATTAAGGGTTTTATTAGTTAAATATTCCCACACAAAAACTTCTGAACACCTTACAAATTACTTGTATTGGTTAACTATACTTTGAACTATAAATTTTAGATAGATTAGAATATTTGGATTTAAGTCAAAGTAGTGCCTTGAAAAGCACATAGTTTCACCTGACTGAATTATAATTTATCATCTCAAAACTCCTATTTTCCAGGATATGGGGACTTTATGATTCAGTCTGCCTGCCTATATACACCATGCCATGATTTAATACTTTATGAAAAAGCTTCATGCTCAAGACCACTTTTTCCTCCTTTATAATTTAGCAGAACATTATAGTCTAGAATTACATATAAGCCTTAGTTTATTTGATTAAATTGCTAAGGCAAACTTACTAGAGTGTCTGGTAAATCAGAAGTGAGAGGCAGAAATTACTGATTGAAAACAAAAAAGAACAATGGGGGAGGGGGGAAATGCTGGGTTTACTTAGGTACAAGAAAATACACTTATCAAATTCTTAGGAAGTTTATTAAATTTAATCTTTTTCTCAGATTAGGCTTCAAACAGCAAACTGGTAGGAAAAAAATGCTAGCTAATTCATCTCCTGTTTGGAAACAAGCTGCTTCTTACTCATACAGCATTTTTGATGAATACTTGAATGGATCTTATGCATGTATGTGTTTGTGAACTTTATTTAGACATAAATCAATTTTTAAATTAAATTGTTTGGTTATGATGATGTTATTCATTCAGTTGAGTCCAACTGTTGATGAGTAGCAATTAAGTTATAATAAAAACAATTTTATTCTCACATCCATTAAGTCATGAATCTTGCTTAACATGAATGTGCTCACTTCCAGCTGTTCCTCACCTCAAGTGGCATGGTTAGTGAACCAGCCATCCTTAACTGATTTTGAATTCTATTCTGAATTCTTCTGAATTGCAGGCTATTTCTGGCCACTCTAAATTGGAAAACATCGTCATAAAGAGATCTAAAACAGGACATGTTTACATTCTCTAGTTAGTTCTGAATTTAATATTGCCTTTGTTCTGCATTCTTAGAGATGCTTAACTTGAATAAATATTGCATAGTGATGATGGTTGGTGATTAACCATTGAATTCAGAAGTTGCCAGAAATTAAGATCACTTTAACAAAGCATTATTACTCAGTGTGATGCATACATTAGAAAACTCTTTCTTATATATAGTCAACAACTTAACTTCCTTTTCAGGGATTCTTGTCTTCCTTCTTTCTAGTTTTCCCTGCTTAAGCAGGTATTTATCCTTCAGATGCTACAAAGCAGCCCTTCCCCTCCTGAGTGCTATCCAGATATGTGGACCCCAACTGTTACAATTATTAGCTGTGGTTAAAATTTGGAGCATCCATATATCTGGAGGCTGGGAAAATTATAACACTATCATGCGGCCATAAACATTGATAAACAAAGAAACAATATATTTTCCAACCATACCATCTTAGCCTTACAAGCTTGCACCCTTCATATTTGCATTAACATATCAAGACATAGCTGTTCAATTTAAATATAATCAACATAGAGATCCATCTTCACCCGAATCTTCAATAAATCACTAGAGTTGTGCTATGTTCCTTCTTGCTTCAAACACTCTACTATCATCCCAGTGCCAAAAAAGCCCTACAGACTACAGACACTTGCTCTAACATCTGTAGTTATGAAAACCTTTGAAAGGCTAGTGCTGTCCCACCTGAAAACCATTCTGGACCTGCTGTTAAATCCCATGCAGTTTGCATACCGAGCAAATAGATCAACAGATGATGCTGTTAATATGGTTCAGCACTACATCCTACAACACCTTGAATCTCCAAATACCTACGCAAGGGTCCTCTTTGTAGACTTCAGTTCAGCATTCAATACCATCATTCCAGACATTCTTCTAACTAAACTAAGCCAGCAAGCAGTACCTGAACACACTTGTAAGTGTATCATAAGCTTCCTAACAGACAGGAAGCAGCAGGTGAAGCTAGGCAGAATCACATCTGATACCTGTACAATTAGCACAACCCCCACCCCAAGGCTGTGTGCTTTCGCCATTTCTCTTCTCCCTATATACCAATGATTGCATCTCGAACGATCCATCTATTAAAATACTGAAGTTTGCAGATGTTACAACAGTGATTGGTCTCATTCGAGACAATGACGAATCTGCATACAGACAGGAGGTTGTACAACTTGCCCGTGGTATAACTGGAACAATCTGGAACTGAACACACTCAAAACCATAGAAATGGTGGTAGACTTTAGGAGAAACGCTCCCATACTACCACCTCTTACAATACTAGACAACACAGTATCAACAGTAGAGACGTTAAAATTTCTAGGTTCTACCATATCACAAGACCTAAAATGGATACCTAACATCAAAAACATGAGGGGGGGGGGGAGACTTTTTGCTTCATGCAAGGAAAGCAGCACAAGGAGCAGAAGTCCCTAAAGACTCATTTCTGATGGAGTGTGGGAGAGAGAGAGAAAGACTTTTGCTGCTTTCCTTGCGTGCAGCCAAAAGAAGAAGAAAGAAGCGGAAAGAAGCAGCCTGGTGGCCAGGCGAGGCACATAGGGTAAGTGGGGCAAGCTCACCCCATCCGCCCTTTCCCCCCTCCCCTCACTACCTCATGTTGTTCGCAATGCAAGTGACACAAGCCTTGTGTTCCTGCAGGCCACGTAGGGGGCACAGCCTTGTGTTCCTGTGCAGCCTGGGTTAATTGCTTTGGGGGGGTGCTTTGAGGGTGTTATTTCTCTGTGGACCATGAAAATTTTCTTGTGGACCACCAGTGGTCCTGGCCCACTGGTTGGCGACCACTGTTATAGAGCACTGCACACCAGAACAACTAGACACAAGGAAAGTGTTTTCCCAAATGCCATCACTCTGCTAACCAAATAATTCCCTCAACACTGTCCAACTATTTACAAAGTCTACATTACTATTACTATTAATCTTCTCATCACTCCTTATCACTCATCCCCTCCCACTTTTGACTATATGACTGTAATTTTGTTGCTTATATGCTCTACGATTTATATTGTTTCCTAATATGATTTGATTGCTTACTGTACTCTATGATTATTATTAAGTGTTGTACCTGATGATTCTTGACTCTTGACAAATGTATATTTTCTTTCATGTACACTGAAAGCATTTGCACCAAGACAAATTCCTTGTGTGTCCAATCACACTTGGCCAATAAAGAATTCTATTCTATTCTATGCTGATTTCAAGCTGGACCATACAACTAGGACACTCAACAAATGAAACACAATTCCACTTGTTTGAACTGAGAGGGCAAACAATACATTATGTTAACAAAACAAATTGGACTATTTCATTAAACAATTTCATGTTCCAAATACTTACACTTGAATCAAAGCTACACACACTGATTGCATCTTCATCCTGGGTACTCTGCTTGCGTTTCTTCTATAAAATTAGAACAATACAAAATAATTCAGTAGCAGAAGATAGAGAAGCATAATATAGCACTATACTGTATGGTATTATAAATATTTTTTCAATTAAAGAATGTGTTTATTTACAACTGCTCACACACTGTGCATGCTCTCAAATTTCTTACTTAGTATATCAAGAAATATCTACACACATACATGCATTCCTGAAAGAATTTGGAAAAGGAACATGTATACATTTGATGGATATTTATAACCACCTTATAACATGCTCCATTTCAAAGAAAATTCCATTAATATTTTAAAACTACAAACTGATTATAAAATTTGAAGTGCAGAAGGCCAGCATTAAATCAAAATTGAATATTTTCTATTTTCTACTTACATAGAAAAAATGAGAACATACAAATTCAGCCAACCAATGATGTTATCTGAACTAAGCTAATGAACTATCTTAACCATTTTCCAGAAGACAAAAGTACAGAAATCCCAACCTTCCAATTCATTTATTAGTCTATTTACCTTTTGTACCAAACATCTGGATACAAGCATCACCCCTCCTTATACTATACTATAAGTGCAATGTTAGCTGATTAAATCCAAATTCAAGAAAGAGAACTCTGTTTTATTCAAATTAAAGCAATGTTTATTTCAAAGTTTTACTCTAGCTTTTAAGTTGTAACATTATTGTAGCTCATTTGTTGTCATAGGAAACAAGTCCACACCTAAAGATTCAAAACTACTGATTTATTGCTTCCACCTATACAAACAAATCTTCCCAGACTAATGGTTTACACCTGAGTAAAACTAGATAAAAACTAGAGTAAAACTCATTCATTTGGACTTTGTCATCTTATGACTACGTAAATACTCTAAAACTGATGCCCACTTAACTCCACTCCCTGGTTTTGATAGTCACCCTCCTACATTTATCCGCATTAAAAAAATTAACCATGTAAGTGATAAAATTATTGATGGAAGAAAAAATAATCAACATTACAATTTTTCTAGGTCAAGTTACCCATGTGAACAGTTATTTGTGAAGGAAAGGCAACTGTAGAAGAATGTGCAGTTCCAAGATAATTTTCTAAACGTTTGTCTTAAATAAGTTTACTTTCTTATCTACATATCAAACTAGATGTTAAATGCAGTTTTGACACCTAACAAGATAGCTTTTAACAATTTAGATTAGAATGCAGACAAACGCAACTTCTTCTCTTTTCTTTCTTTTTCATCATCTTTTCTTTTAAGCTTGCTTTTAATGGGAACATTATTGGCTCAAGCACAGACTCAAGAAAAATATTAAATTCACCCTTCACACTTTCTTTGTCCTTGTCAATTATTTATCTATTTCCAAGTTAATGCATTTCCATTAAAACATAACAAACAAGTGTTAAATGCAAAAATACAGAAAAAATATTGTTTGGCCCTAAGCTGGAACATTGTTAGGCCAAATAGTATAGCAGTAAACATTTTATAAATTTCATATTTAATGCCTTCTTGCAAATTCTGTGCTCCAATCAATGCAGAATGACAATTGATCCCAAGACTTCTTAAATGATCACAAACTAGTCTTTATCTTTTAGCCAATCTTACCTGGTAAGGCTGCTATAACAGTTTTGAAAAAAAAACATCATGAAAGATGGAAACTTGTAAAATTATCAATAAGTGCTGTGAAAATATGATAGACGAAATTTACCTCGAAGGTCTAAAGCTCCAACATAGCAATATAGTGATTTATACTCTGCCATTGATAAAATTGCCTGCAACCCTTTTTAAAAAAAATCCTGAACCTAATTGCTTCCTGAACACAAACATCTAACTAGATAGGTTCCACAGCTTCTACCATTAAATCAAAGAATTTGGCATCCCCCAAAATTATAAACAAGGAGAAGGAGGAAAAATAGAAAGCAAACACCCAGTTCTCATAGGGACTGGAAAATTAAAAAGGTCAAGTTCATATGTTGTTCACAAAGAACTGGCAACAGGACAACAGCAACACCCTATTCCAAGCTATAATTAACAATGGGAAATCTAAAATATAACAGCATGGTATTTAGTTTCTAGGGCAAATTGAAAACAATTGAATTTTTCTCTTATATCAGATGCACTTTTAAATGTTATATTTGGTTTGTGATAGCTTTTATGTACTGAAAAGAAAGAAAGGGACAGATTTCTAGTAAAATTGACTTTTTTTTTTACTTTTAACAATAAGCTACACTTACAGTGATAGTCAATGTATCTTAAAAGAGGTTAGTGAAAAATATTAATTTTTCAGTCATTTACTCTTATCTTTCAAGGTTCAATGGATAATTCTATTTAGAAGCAATATGTTATGATTTACAATACATTTACAACCAGTAGAACTCCAAATGCTAAAGTTGCCACAAATGCAAAATAGAGCTTCTCTTCTTTTTACTGTAAATGCAGTTGTAATTAAAATTAAGTTGCATAAAAATACTGATTAGCACTGATACAGAATTCAGTTGCTCCTCAGTGTTTACTTTCCCAGCCAGAGAAGACACTACTCTCATTTTGAAGATGGATGCTAAATCTGAAATGGAATGGCTGTCCCAGTGAGCATATGGCTGTGAGATTTGAATGAAGATATTTATCTTACAATTTACCCTGCTACTACCACACAGCTAAATCAATGCATTGAACTTTGAAAAGAGAATCAGAAGGCAGCACCTAGCCAGATTCCCCTTTTTGTTAAAAAAAACACACACCTATAAACCACTGTAAATTCAAAATCCATTAATTATTGAATCTCTGCCAACTAAGGCTGGTAGAAATGATGTTCATGAGTTTTAAAATGGAATAATAGGAAATGTTGAGACTATGTTTACAGACAATTATGTGACACCCACTTCAAATCATTTAATCAGGAATCTCAATTTCTGTATAATGAATCATCCATTTACATGCTTCAGGCTGGTTTAAACAGCAAGTTTGCACTTGTTAATGTTTTCTATTTCATCTTCACATTTATACAAAAGAAAAAGCAGCAATTGTAACTTAACAATGTGACACAGGAAACCCCAAAAGAAACATCAGCATTTTCCAGTATAACTTATATCCAGTAAGCTGCCTACAATGCAATCCAATAAAGAACTGCACAGAGTGAGTGAGTTTAGGCTAAAAAAACTGATAAGTACACATCAATCTGGAAGTGTATATTTGGGGATAAGTATTACAATTGTGTTCAAATATTGTCTTAGATGGGAAAAAAAAACTTGAGAAATGAAAGTAATCAAAGCCACAGTTTATACTACTTATACAGTGAAGTTAGTCGGGTAATTTGTACACTGCGTGTGAGAATGACCTTCATATTCAAACTAATTAGATAACTATTGCACATATTTATTTATTAAATGAATTTATATGGCTGCCCAACACATACATGAGTCATGAGGTGACTCAAGATGGCGTACAACAATGGTTAAATGACTCATTTGTTTTTCAATACAGCCTGTTTGCAACTAATTAGATGAATTAACTTATCTTAACTAAGATGACATTAATATTAAACATCCAACTAAAGTTACTTAAATATTTAAATTTTATTAAAAAGTGGTCAGTCCCATTTTAAAACAGGTATGCCATCTTCCCCATTTTTCTGAAAGATTTGTGCCCGCTGAAATTCATGTAAAAAGTTATTTTTTTGTCAAAACTATTGTTTGTCGGTTTAGTTAATTTAAGTCTATTTAATTATTATTAATTTAAAATTATTTAAGTCTGAATTATTGTGATCAACCAACTACATCTCAGTTTTCAGATCCAATGTTGCACTTAAGCCTAAGAATGTACAAATGAAATACAGTTAAATTTTTCCTGCCCCATTATCAGTTTCAGACTTTGAAGAGTTTTGCTTTTGAGACAAGAAAGAAGAAATATATATGAAAAGTTTCCCTAAAGTTCTTTTGAAACTTTTCTTTAAAAACATTAATGCATTAACCAACCCAGAAGAAATAGGAAAAACTATTTTTCCCCTAAAATTAACTATGACATTATATGATATTGTATTAATTATACAATATTATATATTTTAATTGGTACTTTTTATTTGAAATAGGCTACAGGCTTCTCTTAAACAAATATCGCACAATGAACTGCTGATAAGATCTCTACCTTCTTGCCAAAATAAACTCTCTTGTTCCAGCAGAAACAAATCTTTTGATTGTACTTGACAATAGGCCTAATGGCCTGTTTATATAAACAAAATCAATAATAAATAATACCCACAGAAAAAATGTAATGAGCACCAAAGAGTAATAATAAGGCAGCGTGTGCTCTCAAAAATCACCCATAAAGTGCAAATGCTCCCTGAAAATCACTCAGTTTGCAATTCTATATTCCAGATGTGTTATCAGGGAGTGTATATGTAAGATGTGCTATTTTTTCTTTACATATTTTGTGTTTCAGATTTAAATCTGTACCATTCTAAATGCTCTTTGAGGTATATATTAATACGTAAGTAAGATAATATGATACAAAAATTATAAAATAAAATGCTATTACTCTAAATCTAAAACAATAAAAAATATAACAGTAGTAGTGGCACAGTTCTCATTGTACCTATTGACCTCCAAAGGCCTCCTGAGAATTGACAAGTCTTAAATGTTCTCCAGAAGGTCATCAGCCATTTTTGTTTTAAGGCATCAATTGTTCTATATAAGAGGCACAGCCATCAAGAACACCTCCCTTCACATCCCTGCTGGTGCACCTAATAGTAACTCTAATAATAAAAAAGAACTACCCATTAAAATTGCCCCAGAAAGATTGCTTGCTAAATCTGAAAACTGATATTCAAGTATAGTCTTCAACATCTGATTCCGATGATTCAGAAGATCACAACTTCATCTTGCTTGCAGCAAATTCAATCTAGAAAAAGGGCGTTGGTGCTTACCTGAGACGCCCGTTCTCTGTGAGCTGTGAAGGGCATCCAGTAGTGGGAGAGGCTTCAGTTTCTGCTGTGATAGACTGGGATTAATTGCGAGGATGCTCCTCCTC